AGTTAAAGGAAGAAAACTCATGGGTTGAGATAAGAACAGTTTAATAATTGAAATAAAATAATAATAATAAAAGAATTTACAAAGCAGGTGATGCACAATGCAGTTGCTCACCACCCGCCGACCGATGCCCAGCCAGTCCCCGAGCAGCAGCCCCCCCGGCCAGCTTCCCCCAGTTTATGTACTGAGCATGACGTCACATGGTATGGAATGTCCCTTTGGCCAGTTTGGGTCGGCTGTCCTGGCTGTGCCCCCTCCCAGCTTCTTGCTGGCAGGGCATGGGAAGCTGAAAAGTCCTTGACTAGTGTAAGCATTACCTAGCAACAACTAAAACATCAGTGTGTTATCAACATTGTTTCCATCCTAAATCCTACAGTGCTGGTACAAGCCCTGTACCAGCTACTAGGAAGAAAATTAACTCTATCCCAGCTGGAACCAGGACAGGGTTTTAAAAATTGCTTTCTACCTTGGCTTTTTTATTCTCCTTTTATCTGGCAATTGAATATTTTTCCAATTGAATTTTAGAACTATATTCCTGCCAAATACAACAGCTTTTCAAACAGTCTAGCACATTCACTCTCAGTTTATATATTCTTTGTGCATATACTTTTGTGATTACAAGGATAGGTGACAGAATACTGTTTTTTGTTTTGAGATAGTAGGTGTTACAGTTAGGGGTGAGGAGAGGCAGGTGTGTCATTAATATGTTTGCATTCTTTTCTGTAAATAAAGTTGTTGGGTGTTTTTTAAACCTTCTGTAAAGTTAAAAATTGGAATTAGCTATACTCTGTAGATCCCCAGCATTTCATGCAGTACTGCATCTCTCAGGTCTATTTGAGGCTGTAGAAACAAGAAGCGTGGCTAAACTTTTGTTCTTTCCTGTCATTGGTACTTTATGCAATGAGACCAGAATGCTATTGTTCTAAAAATAAATAGCAAAATAATCTTTGGGATAGAAAATAACTGCTTATTAAAATGTGAAGCCAGATTTTTCTCTCAACTCATAAGTAATCAAGCTAACCCAACAAATTGTGATACTCACTTTGATTTATGTTGGAGTTTTTTGGTGTTTAATATTTAAAGTACTTTGCTATTAAAATAGAAGTCCTTTATGTCTCTAAACTTATGTTCATCTTTTAAAATACCGATTTAGCTTTATGTAGAGCTGTTCAATGAACTAGAATCTCAGGGGAGGCTTTTAATTTTCAGTGAAATTAAAGCTTATAGATGTTACTAGCTTTAGGCAGATGACTAGCTCTTCCATGGTTTCTCTGAATATTTAGCTGCCACAGAATTTAAATGTCAATGTATAAAGTTGAGGGTGCAACCTTAATATATATGAAAAATACAGATAGAGTTACGTTCTGCCAAATAGGTTTGAGATCCATTTTGAGATTCGGAATGCCCAGCAAAATACAAAAATACAAAGGAAGATATGGTACTATCTGGGGGGGCAGGGGAGGAGAGAGAGAGAAAGTTTTTCTCCTTTGTTTCTTGAAAGAGTCTAAAAAGAAGTTTCAGAATTCTGAAAGTTCCTTTTAGATCAGGTTATTCCTTTTTATCATTCACTGTCAAGTGTCCTAAAATATGAAGGAAGTGAATGGGTAAATTATATACAGTATTAGCTAGTCAAAGGGAAGTATGCTCATATTCTGTAACATTTGTATGACAGTCAAATATAATTTTCTTTCATTTAACAGACAACATGTTTTCTTTACTGCAGAGACCTTATTAAGAAGCTGCTTGTGGTTGACAGGACAAGACGATTAGGAAATATGAAGGTCAGTATAAAATGTTAGGTGTAATGCAGAACATAACACAAGGTTGAAAGAATTCTGTAGGAAAGATGAAGAACAGCTCTTCTATGGCTTTTGATTTTATAAGCATGAAATTGAGATATGTTTTCCCATACGTTACTTTGGTTGTGCAATCCTAAATGCAGAGTTTAACTGTGTATTTCTGGAAATCATACTTCTGTTGTCTGGATTAATGCTATCCTTCATGATAATTTCTCCACTCCCGCCCCCCCCC